TAAAGGCTAGCCCACTTGGGGCTATAACCCATCCCACCTGCTCAACCTTTTGTCTTTGTACTGCCTGCAACAACTGTCCAAAGAAAAAAAACAATAGCATATGAGGTAAAGGAGATGGGTACCTCAATGGAATTTCTCTTTTGCCCACAGCTTGATGATAATTAAGCAACCTATGGATGTGCAAAAGCAGTCCAGTGGGGCTCAACAAACCAGCACAAACACAGATGAGCCAGTCAAACAAGAGTAAACAAAGCAAAAGGTAAACCAAGGGCATTAAAGAGCCACTTTGAGAACCTTTCAACCAAAACTAGCATCTTCTTAGACAGACAAATTGACCATTTAGAACTTATAGAAAGCATGTACAGAAGACTAGGTCACAGGCGTACAGATCTGAGACACAGAAGCCTGATGAAAAACCCCAGAAGCACTCAGATACTTATCTCAAAACTCACTTAGAAATAGTGGATCTACAAGCCAGAAAACTTTACTAAAGGACCTTCTGGAATAACAAACAGGGAATCCGTCTGCCTAAAAGAAGGAGTGACCCTGACAGCCCTCACCACATCCAGGCAACAGAGATGTCCTTGGGGTGAACCTATGCCAGGCACAAAAAAGTCCTTGCTTTCAAAGCAATCTTGATTCTATGTAAAATCAAATAGGGCTCCATGTAAGATAGTAACATCAAGATGATGTCTCAAATAGGTACAAAAGGAGGGCTTTGTAACACTGAAAACTAAATTTAAATCCCAGGGTTGAAGTTGAGGCCTAACAGTGTGAGCAACCTGTTTAATCCCTTGTAAGATAAAATCATTGAATGATCAGCAAGAGAACATAAGAAATAGACAAGCAATTCAGACACCCAACTAAAGGCCAAATGTTGTTCTGAAAGAAACAAGGAACACAGCCCACCAAAAAATACATGGGGAAAACACCTACGAACAGTGAAAATAGGTCAGATGTGATGCCATGCGGGAAGTTGATTTAAGACCTTTAGGCACGGTCGTGAATACTGGACCTGAAAATGCCCTGCCACTCAGAACCAAGGTTTCTATAACCAGGTCTTTAAAGCTAGCAAACAAGAAGCACAGTGGATGATTCTTCAATGCAACAACAGATCTTGCCAATCTGATAAAGGTCACAGGGTATCGGTTAACAGATGAACAAGGTTGACTTTCAATATTCTCTGAAGTCAATCCAGACATATATGAATGAATGGAATACTTACTGCCTGAATCCTGTAAAGAAAATTATGTGATAACTTTCACTGAGGAAAAGTTACTGGCAGGACATCTGCTGCATCCACCGCCAGATCTTTTAATGTCCTGGAAACAAACCTGTTCAACTTCTTGTTTAACATTTGAAAATCCACATTTGGCGTCTCACAAAATACAATTTCCCTGGGTCCAGACGTCATTTGTCTTTGTCATTTGTCACTTGTATTTGTCAGCCAGTAAGATGTGCGGGCGGTCAGCCGGGATGGCTTTCAGGGTAACTTCCCTGAAGTAACTTCCCCATCTTTCTTCACCCTGAAAGCCATCCCGGCTGACCACCCGCACATCTTTCTGGCTGACACAGCCGCTTCTATTCACCTCACATATCCCACACTTTATGTGACTCAAGGAACCATCCACAGAGGCTCCTGTCATGTAAAGTTGTCAAAGTTTGACCTACACAGTCCGGGTACTGTTTTAATCTTATGCTAACAAACCCTTCACGGGCCGACAATTCAGTGACTCAGCCAGGACACTGACAGCTACACCCCTCTCCTTCGTCCTGTACTGTTTTCACTCTCTCCGGCCACTGAGATCTACACCTCCTGGCAGCTGCAGCCCGTCCGTGTCCCCCTCCCCTCTCCTTTGTCCCATACTGCTTTCAATCTCTCTGGCCACTGAGATCTACACCGCCCCTCCACTACACAATATCCCCTGGACTCCACTACAACTATTTGGATCACTGGAACCTTCACAGACGTCCATTTGAGGCACAGCATCACTACAACCATAGGACACCGATCCTCGATTCAGGCTGCATGTCATTCCGTCCTCACCAACACCTTGTAAGACCCTTCCTTTTCCTTTACAACACATTAACATTCCAATGGTAAAGTGTATTTGCTCTGGTTTGTATTTTTGGAATTTTGTCGTACAGGTACTCTCTGTCTGGTTTCTTTGAGCTGCTCACATATCATTGCCCACCAGATTTCATCTAATACACCCCCACCCTCTCGAGAGCGCTGTACATACTTTCTTTCAGGACAACATAAACTTTACTTCTGACACTGCCACAACACTCCTAGAACCACAGCTGTTGTTAGCTACAGCTATGGCATTGTTAGATTAATCTTGAACTGAATGATTGGCCAGAAAGGGGGTAGAGAAGGAATGACAGATAAATTGCTCATAACTACAAGTTGCAGATTGGATGCTTTGATTTTTATCTCAGGATCAACAACTCTAAACAAACATATGATCCACAACTCTGCCTTAATCCAGAACACTGTCGACCATCTTGAGTCCTTCAGTGTGAAGGAAGAAAAAAAACATGCCCTCCCAAAAGTCCGGGGACAGAAGCCACCAGTAAAAACTTGGTTCAAGGATGTAACTGGATAATCATGTTCAGAGACAGAGTTGCTTTGTTCCATGCTGTGCAAATGTTCTGTTACAAGATTCCTGAGTGCAACTAGGAAAATGGAAGATGAAGGTAATTAGGAAAATTAGAAGGTGGATACCATTAGTCCCAGAACTCGTATGAAGCTCCGCAGGGAAAACAGACTTTGGGAATAAAGTTGCCGTTCCTGTTTTTTCAGTTTTGTCAACACTTGGGCCAAGAAATCCTTCATCTAATCCTCATACCCATTCAGGAAAAGGCCCAAGTACCCCAAGCTACTTGAAATTGTAACAACCAGGTTAGGCTGGGCACACACCTTAGAACCATCGCAAGACTTTTGTCTTGCGATGGTTGTAAGGTACTTAAAAAAACGTACGATCTGCCTATCTTGCATAGGCAGATCGTACTTGCGATGATCGCAAGCCACGCCCCCTGAGGGGCGGGCTTCCGATGACCGCAATGCCGAACGGGCAGTGTGCGCTTGCGCACACCGACCCGTACGGCTTTTATCGTACGGACATGCCACAAACCCGCCGAACATCGTACGATGCTCGGCGGGTTTTCGAACATGTCCGTAAGTTTAAAGTCGTGTGACCTTACAGTAGTAGAGGTCGCACGGCTTCCACACACCTTACGATAATTGTACGATCGTCGTAAGGTGTGTGGGGACCTTAACAAAGGTTTACTCACTTGGATCTCAGCTGCGGATATATATGGCCTAAGGTAGGAATGTAGTAACGAATTCCACAGATGATAGGACTGTATTACTTCATACAGCCTCCTTCAACAATGAGGAAGATAGGATACAACTTGAGTTAAGCATGGATAAAAGGCTCTGCTTGAATGCGCAATACAATCCTTAAGCAATCAGAAGATAAGTAATGCAGGAATGTTAAGGCAGACACGTGCATCCAAACTTTAAGTTTGTTGTCTTGAGTTTTATAATACAACTAGGGAATGTCTATCAACTTACAAGGTTCAATGATGATGCAGGCACATGCACCCAACTTAAAGTCTCTTGTGTTGAGTTTTATAGCACAACTAGGAAATGTCTTCCAACTTACAAAGTTAATGCTACAAACTAAAAGTAGCAGTAAGGAAATGTATACTTGCAGTTGAGATGAACGTAGTTTGCAAACACACTAAGTCAGATGAGCGGTAGACAAAACTTCAGGGCTCAAATTGGAGAAGCTGTGCCAAGGAATGGAGACACAGGACAGGAACGAAGTGTGGTTGCTGCTAGTTGCAGGACTGAAGCAGAGCTGGGTTTAATGGCAAGAGGTCTCAGGATAATTAGCAAGGAGTGTGGATTCAAGGTAGCAAGATACTTCAGGATGCAGAACGGATACAAAGTAGCAGGGTACATTCAGGATGGAGAGTGGATACAAGGTAGCAGGATACATCAGAGGGGTGAGTGCTATATAGTAGCAGAATCTTCAGTACGAAGAGCGGTTACAATGTAATTAAATGCTTGCTTCAGGATGGAGAGCAGTTCAATCAGCTGTTTGCCGGCACTTGCATTGCACCGATGCCGGGGAATTGAATCCCGCGGCTTAAGCTGACTCAGAAGGCGGGACTGCATGACGCCGCTTGTGTGAGGGATAGGGAGGTGGCACAACCCGCTGAAGCCGGCTCGGAGGAAAGGTAAGTATATTACAATAACCAGGATGCATCTGAAGTTCTTCAGTATCCACAGCATAAATGACACAGTGGAGTCAAAGGTCAGGGAGATTTGCTCACCTAGGAGCAGATTGTCCAGGGAGCTGATGACTGGAATAGTAATGTTGGGGAAAGTTTGTCTTTAGAGTGATTTAGGCAATTCTACCCAACATCAGTTCTGTCAACAAACTCACAGAGTCTCGGATCATTCCTCTTTAGTAGTTTCAATAGCACCAGACCAGCCTAATTTCAGCAATATCTGGTACCTCAGTCCATTTTGGTTTCCACTTTTCCCCTACCTTGAATCCCTACAAGAAGCCCTTTTTTTTATTTCTATGAACACAGACTCAGAATCAAAATGCATAGTATGGGATACGCTAAAGGCATATCTTAGAGGTCTCCTTATTGAGGAGACTAGTCCTATAAAAACTGGTGTTATCTTTGGTCAGATCTGTGCCCACTTTACAGGTATCCTAGAAGCTTTCAAATTCTTATTTTTCACGATCATACTCCTCTAGAGGCCAGTATAGCAGTTTCTAGAAGATTGGAGCCAAACATATCACAGTAGTGGTAAAGAAGCTAAACCTGCATCACATCATCCAAAATAGAGGAATTAGTTGCAATTTTTTGCTTTACGAGCACTTTACAGGGAACAATTAGATAGCAAGGTAAGCAATATTTGCATGTAGACACTGTATTTTAAGGGACGCTTTGTGAATGACCATAAGGCATACCATGTTCTGAGTGGTGTGAATATGCAAAGGTTATTCTCTGGATCCCATGCACAGTAAGGGTCTTGTGTGCCCAGACAACTTCTGTGAAAGAAGAAGAATTAGAAACATTATTGTATACCTAAAACATACACACTGGCATGAATTGGAATTACAATTTCAATAAATATTATCAGAAGGATCTAATGTTATTCTACTTAAAGTGTATTTCCACTTTCCCAGCCAACACAGTATAACATCTATTTTATATTGGTTACATGTTCCCATATACAAAGCATAAGATAAAAAAATTAAAAATGCTTCTTGCAGTTGAAATTGCTTTGATTTAGGTTATGATTTCTTGGCTTCTTAATGGTTAAAAGTTCTGCTTGGTACTCCTTCTTTGTAATGTTAGGAGGGGCTGTGATGTTAAAGAATTAAAAGCCTGACCTCTGCATTCAAATGCCTTTCTATAAAGGACAGATCACTGTGAAGATGCTCAGAAAAACCTGAAATCATCCATGTTGTCTGCTGCAACAAACATCTCAAAATGTAAGAAATATTTTTAAAATTATTTTTGGTATGCAGTGTAAATAGGAACACATAACAAACATATAGATAAATTTGACTGAAAAAGTGGACACACGGTATGAGTTTAGCATCTACATGCTTTTAAATTTTGCAGCAAAATTGGGATAACACCTATTTTATATTTCTTAGATGTTCTCATTCACATAGCATGTGTGTTTTCTCATATTACTAGTTTTCTCTAAACTGAATTGTCCTCTGGAATTAAGGTTACCTTAACTAATCCTGTCTGTACAGTGCTGGCAGATCTCATTAACAGTTGTAAATTAGATTTGAATACTGTCTGTCCTAACAAAAGCATAAAGTGTATTTCCACTTTTGCAGCCAAACAACTACTTTATGTTTGGAACATGTCCCCATTCACATAGCATAACGTTAAGAAAAAAAATTGCAGCTTATCTTTTTTGTTTGTTTAGTATAGTAAACCCGGTCTGTACTGTGCTGGCAAATTTGATTATCACTTGTATACTTGATGAGCAAGACTGTCTGTCCTAACAAAGGGTTAAAGATCTCAAGTCTGTCCCTTTATCTGTACACTATTCTAGCCATTAGAAGCTGCCTAATTATAATTCTGCTTCAAACAAACAGGTAAAAAGGTAGGACATATTTAAAAAATATATCTTAGGTAGGCTGTGTGAATGGGAACACATAATAACACAGGTTATTAGACGGTAAAAGTGGAAATACACTTTAAAGATCTAGAAGCATTACATGTTAATGAAAGGAAGCACATAGTTTTTCTATGGGAAGAGCCTGAGTTCCCTGTCACTTTGAAAATGTAGAGAGAAGCCTGCAGTCTGTCCAAAGGCCTGCTCAAGCGAGATATGTAAAAGTATACACATTTTTTATTTTATTTTTAGGTTTGTAATGCCGAGTAAACACAGAGTAGTGAGGGTTTTTCAGTGACTGCAAACCTGTAAATACACTTTGGGTAATTATGCACATGCAACTACACAGTTGATATTGTTGTGATAAGTAAGATCAATAACCTTGTATTAACCCTTTCACTGCCAAGGCCCTTTTTGCACCCATTATAATCCACATTTTAGGCCTAAAAGTACTTAAAATCCCAAAACAGAGTCTGAAAGCAAAGACTATATATATATATATTTTTTTTTAATAGTGACTCAGACGCTCCTCATGAAGTGGGTGGTATCTGTGAAAAGAGTAGAGTCAATCCCATTTAACTGCTGCTACTTCAATGAAATGTGGAATATATGTTTATGTATGATATACTATCCATCTAATTAAACTTATTATGATATAGTTGGCTGACTAGATGCAGATCGTCAGAGGCAATTATATATACTAAAGAAGCCATTTGTATAATTTCACGTGCTATATTTTAAAATTGGTTCATAGGTTCCCATCTTAGGTTGTGTATATATAAAAAAAAAAAAAGATGTTTGCCTATGAGTTGGCACCTTAAAGTGACACTAAACTCAGGAGTTAAATCTTCAAAATGCATACAAGTACCTTGACTATTAACAAAAATGTTCCCTTTTTGTGCATCCTCAAATCAACTCTTAATTCATGCTGACACTGTCCTTCCTTCTGGAGGGTGGCTACTTTTTTTCCCCATGGTCTCTGTGTGTGTTGTAGAGTAGCCACCGCTCCAAGCCCGCCCATGTGATGGACTGCAATCTCATGTTTAGTTTACTAATTTGTATTGAGATTGTAGTTTTTCATGGGAGTAAGCTTGGAGCAGTGGCTACTTTACAACAAACACAGGGACCATGGGTAAGTACCCTCCAGATTTAAGGACAATTTCAGCACAAGTTCAGAGAGGATTTGAGGATCTACTGCCGAGTGATACACAAATAAGCTACATTTTTGTTAATAGTAGGGCTGTGGAAATTAAAGATTAATTTCCCGATTGATCGTTAAACTTTTTGATCGATTAAAATTATTTTGATAGCTAATGAAAACACTCACCTCTCCGCTGGCCTCGGGGAGTCCCGCCGGCGATCGACGGACATCGACGTCACCGGACTCCTCCCCCTTCCCCAAGTGGCTCCGTCGGCTAACGAAGGGAAGGGGGAGGAGTCAGCTGACGTCGATGTCCGTGACGGCTAACGAAGGGAAGGGGGAGGAGTCCGGTGACGTCAATGTACGTGACACCGGGCTCCTCCCCCCTTCGTTAGCCAACGGAGCAACTTGGGCCGGTAAGTTTGCCCAAGAAACTTTCTGCACGAGCGCCAGCCAAGGCCTATACACATACAGCACAGCAATTAAGTAATACAATGAACTAGGATCACACTAATCCAGCACGTTATTATTCTGAGTTGCCCCACTCAAGCGGCGGCCATATTGAGTGGGGCATGTGAGATTAATAAAGTGCTAGATTAGTGTGATCCTAGTTCATTTTATTACTTCATTGCTGTGCTGTATGTGTATAGGCCAATGTAGTTGGATCTATATGTGCATTATAATTAATGGAAATTAATCGATTAAAAACATTTTTGATTAATCGAACACGAACATTTTAATCATAATTTAAGATTTACCTCCTGAGTTTTAACATCATTTTAAAAATCTGTTTTTGAATGAATAAGAAATGAGTTAAGTTGTTTGTCAAAAATAAAATACTGTTTAACTATTGGAGCTCTTTTAATGTAAACTAAACAGCTGAACAATGTAAGTGAGTTTTTTACTTGCACTGAGTTTTCCATTGAAATGAAATGCTTAAAAAGACAGAGGAGAACTCAACAGTAACACTGGCTAAATCTGGAATTTTCAATATTGTTATTATGTATGTTATACCTGAGATAGCACAAAGAGTTAAGAAGAATGTATTAACTGCTCATCAAGCAGTCAACCTAGCTAAACAAGAAAATATAAACCAGTAGACAGCAGAATTGGTATAAGGGTTGGTCAGTCAATTTCAAATCTCCATTCTGCTACAGAGGTTAGGACTCTAGTTATGACACAAAATAATAATGGTTGCAATCAGGGGTTCGGAGAGTATAATAGAGTGGTAAATCCTGTATTCTCATAAAAGGGTTTTCAGCAAGATAATGCCCAACCTCATAGTGCAACGATCAATATTAGGGATGCACAGATACTTTTTGAGTACCAGTGCAGATACTTGGCATTTTCATGAGAACTACCAGGGTTGCAGCTGGGACCTGGCTCTGGCACTCCACCACTGTCCTGAAATCATTAGTCTGTATTGTTTTACATGACAATCAACAAAAATGTATCAGTACTCGGTACTTGTAAGTACTCGGCAAGTACCAGTACTCGTACTCGCAAAACTGGTATCTGTGCATCCCTTAATTTATACTTATAAAAACAAAAGCATACATTAAAACAGAGATGTACGGGGCGTGGCCTGAACGCGATGGCGAGCATACGCGGGTAAGAGGAGCTCCATAGAGTGAAGGAGCATTTATCACAGCTGACCGTACCAGACCCCACTGCACCCTATGTCTAGAGGGAATAAGAAGTCGCGGACCCCCCAGCATTGGAATCCCGTGTCTCCATCCTGGAGGATTCTCTCTCACAACAGAGGGCACAGATGACTCAATTTCAGCTCCGACTGGAGCACTCTGAAAATCGTAACCGCCGCAACAACCTGCGGTTAGGTGGGATCCCGGAGGCCGCTGGAGGGGCAGATCTCAGAGCAGCAGTGGCCGCCATTTTCCATGGCCTACTAGATAAGCCCCCAACAGCTGAGATTGAACTCGACAGGGTGCATAGGACCCTTGGTCCGAGAGGGGCTGATCCCAACAGGCCCAGAGACGTCCTCTGTCGAGTGCATTTTTTCAATATCAAGGAGGAGATCCTGCGCAGAGCATGGAGGCAGGGCACAGTAGACTTCGATGGGGCAGATGTCCAGATCCTCCCAGATGTATGCCCTCAAACGCTGTACCGCAGGCGTCTTCTTAAACCGCTCACCTACCTCCTACAATCAAGGCGAATCACTTATCGGTGGGGCTTCCCATTCTCCATGATAATCGGAAGGGGCGACCGGGTGTTCAGGTTCACTCACCCACGTCAGGTACCGGCCCTAAGATCTTTCCTGGAGTGCGAATCCCTGGACCTCCCTGATTGGCTGGAGGCCTCTTCCGTGCATGGTCCCCCCATGATGCCCACCCGGTCCCCAAGGCCTGCAAGGAGGCAAAGGCCACGCCAGAGGTCATCTACTCGCTCCCCACTGCAGGGCCGACCGGGTGACCCGGAGAGTTGAGCTGTTATAGACTATCCCAATGGCGTACACTATGGTTGCCCTGCGGGTGTGCCCTAGTTAAGAATTTTCTTTTGTTGCCCAGCTTCACGGTCGAGACAGATGATGCCTATAGTTGCCTTGGAACTGTCCCATGCAACAGCCGAGATGTGAGGTGGCTGGTTGGGAGTGCTTTTTGGAGTTTTGACTGTTATGACATTGCGTTACGCCCGCCAGCTAGAAACCCCACCTGAGACAGATTGCCCTCCACGTGCAGAGCATAAGTTGTAGTGTTCCCTAACTACCAGATTGTTCTGGGGGCGGACAGTATAATGATACCTCTAGCTGT